TGTCCATACACTCTTGATCAATATGGGACTGCTGCGATGCAGTTTCATACCACCATGCAGCAACAACAAACAGCCATTCAAGCACAAGTTCAGGCCACTGCTACAGCCATAGCAACCAATGGCGTAGCTATTGCTTCGGCCAATGCTGTTGGTGGTGCAGCCGCGGCACCAGTGGTTGATCCATCTGTATACTGGGCTCAGTGGCAGAACTGGAATACCAATCTGGCTAATTATGGAAATGTTTTGTGGAATGCTGGCTGTTTGTCTACTTACTGGGACAACGATAGCAATTATTATAATGCAATGATTGCTCTGCAGCAAAATCTCGCACTTCAGGTAACTTTAAACTCGAAGGGTTGAGTTACTATTCTAAATATTAACATGTAAACCCATTATAGAATCAGGCTATTTGGAATAATATAGCCGCTGCTAATCAGCAAGCTGCAGCACATGCCAATGCGCTGTATCTACAGACTGCAACCCAAAATGCGCTGACAACATTCAATTCGGCAGCATGCCAGATTAATACAGCGTATGGAGCACAGTTGGGATGGAATAGTGTTTCGGGAACTTCATGGAACTGTTGAGGCTTGTATTGAACTGAATTCCTTGGCATATCATCCAATATGCAGAATGATTAAATAAAGTTTGAAGTTGGTTCAGATCTTGTCGATATATTATCATGACATTGGCTGAGCGGTAAGTAGTGTTGGCTAGAATGATAGTATTCAGCCATTGCTACGTGTAAATGGTTTGTATTAACGATACTCATGCTGTATTCGCCTCAAGGTTTGCATTGATTGAAAGGGATAGAGCTGTTGCTGCCAAGACTCGAGCAGTTCATCCATCATCCTCTACAACTGTTCAGAAAAGACTTGAGCCATCCACTTTTAACAAAAGACTTGATGCAAAGACTGCTGCAACTCTCTTGAAGCAGCAACAACAGACTGGTCATAAAATGTCCAATTCTGCTGCCAGTATGATGACCAAGCAAAGTAATGGTCGTACTAAAGCATCCAAGACCATTTCAGTAGTCAAACCCCTTGTAAAGCGTCTTGGACCCAAACCAGGTCCAATTGAGAATCGTCTTGGCAAGCGGCTTATTGACCGGTTAGGTGATAAACCCACTGCTGCTGGAAAGACTAAAGCTGTATTACGCTCCAAGAAAGCAGGAAAGGTATCCAAGACTATAGTATCCAACTCGACTCCTAAAAGCAAGACTCGAGGACGTGTTGCTAATATTGGCTCATCCAGTTATTCTGCAGCAGATATGATGGATGATGACGATTACAAATTTGGTCAAGCTGCAATATATTAATTCTCGATATTTCAAGATTATAATTAGACTGGTTCATTACTATGGTTGCAGCTGTGGAGTGGATCTCTATTGCAGTGTGGATGGATGCGCAATCATTACTGCACGATAAGCCTTCAACATGCTTCGACTCGTGCATTACAAAATATCGGGTGAAACTGCAATAGATTCAAGTGGTGCATGCGTTGCTTGATCAACAGACTCACCCCAATCACTTGCCGGATCTTGTTGATCAGTAGTTGTTGCATACTCGATAGAAAGCCGAGCCGATTCCTTATTAGACCGTGTCGGCTTGTCCTTGTCTGAATCAAAACAAATGATGCTATCGGCTGCATATACTTTTGTCTCTGTGGACTCCTGTTTTTGCTGATGTGCACAATCACACAAGTCTTTTAGCTCGTCTTTATGCGTATTGACATACTCGACGGCTGTACATGCCGCTGCTTTTTTGGCATCGCGTTGCCCAGTGCCGAGACATTGAGCCAATACCATGTTGTGATACGTGATAGTTGCGGTAGTACCTCCATGTAGACCATATTCATATCTGAATGTTTTGTTTTTAAAAATAGTTGGATTTCAGTACTTTTTGGCAATTGTATTCAACAGAAATGCAGACAATAGATTTGTAGTTGTCAAATTTACCCGACAAAAAACATACGTGTAATCTATCTTGACACATTTAAACAATGAATAGGACAAGGTTCGCAATTCAGCAACTGGGTTTTCGTATATCATTGATTCTCCACCAAACAGCGATGTGAATCGCCACCACCAAGGTGAGATCACTGTGATGTCAAACATGCTTTGCACGCAGTGTATATCAAATTGAGAATCTACAAATACAGCACCTAGCATGGACTCGTAAACATCACCTGCAGTTTTTGGTGCTGTATTTCCCTTGTTCCAAAACATTCGAGCAGAGGCAATTTGAGTAGCTGACGTCGATATTGGTAATGGAGTAGATGATTCAGATGCGAGATAGCCTTGAACCCATGCAGTAAACCGCCCGATTGCTGCTTCCATAGTCATATCTGTATGGCGTATATACTTTACCAACCCAATTTGAATTGACACACATGCCAGAAATTGATTGCAAACAAGCTCAGCGCGAAGTTTTGATAATCCACCTGGATTCAACGGTGGTGTAATTTTATACAAATGTTGCATTGCAAGGTAAGAAAGCACTGCATCTCCTAAAAATTCAAG